AAACAAAATGTTAGGTAATATGCTACGGTCCCTTCCACCTAGATCTAAGCAGAAGTGGCCACAGTTAGTATATACAATAACATTTGTGTACAACTGTACGGGTCACAAAACAACTGGTTTTGCCCCTTTTTACCTAATGTTTGGAAGAGTACTGAGATTGCCCGTTGACCTCATGTTCCAAAGTGTCCTTTGTGATAGTTCAATTCAATTAAATTTGATTTGATTAGCGCTTTTCACAATGGACATTGTATCAAAGCAGCTTTACAGAAACATGTAAACACGGGATACAGATTTTAAATGTGTGAATTTATACCAATTGAGCAAGCCGGTGGCTACAGTGGCAAGAAAAAACTCCCTAAGATATTAAGAGGAAGAAACCTTGAGAGGAACCAGACTCAGACAGGAACCCATCCTCATCTGGCTCACAACGAATAGTGTAAAAGTAAAGGAAAGTTCATTATGGTTTTATATGAAGTCTGTGATTACAATAACTATGTTCAATCTCGTGTCAGTGATCTGCAGTCTGCTATGGTGTTGGCTCAAAAGTATTCCGCTATGGGACAAAAACATCAATCTAGCAAGTATGACAAGAGAGTCAAGGGATTACCTCTGTTTATTGGTGATCAAGTTCTTGTTGCTAATAAAGGTGGTAGAGGTAAGCGCAAGCTTGTCGATAAATGGGAACCTGTTATGTATTCCATAATTGCTCCCAAACAATCCTTGCACATTTATAGGACTTGTGACAGATCTGGTAATGAACAAGCACCGGAATCTCCTGTTGCCAAGTAACTTTCTCCCTTTACCTGAAACAGAGTTGAATTTTTTTGCTGGTAGACGTGATATTACTAATCCCTGTTCCACAACTTTTCAATCTATATGTAACCTGACTCAATCAGCAGTACCTGTAACTGATGACTTGTCACCAGCAGAGTCTATGTCTGATGTTTCTCAAATAGTTGTTTTTGATGATGACCGTACTGCTTCATGGGTTGTATCCCAACTTCGTCTCAAACTGTCCCTGAAGCACAGACTGATTTGTCTGTTGTTGACCTAGACACTGTAGCCAGTGGTTTTTCACCTACTGTTCCAGTTCCTACAAGTTCACATGTTCCTGCAATTGACCCTAACTCCAGCAATCAGTCCACTACTAGGTGTGGTAAAGTGATTAAACCTGCTTGTATTTAATTTACTGTTTTGGCTCCTCCTCTTCCCGTTCACAGTGTAATTTCAAGGGAGAGGTAGGTTTAATTTTGAGTTCATCTTTATTTACATCAGCATTTATATACATTTATTAATTTTAATTTATGTGTATTAGTGTGATTATTTTTGTTGATTTACCCTCCTTTTTGTATTTTGTTTTAATGGAAATGAGAGCACATGGTGACCATCGTACATCATGTTTATTTTATAGAGCACAGCGTAAGGGCGATTCTCTCAAAGAGGCTGCTTATATGTATTATCAGGTGCGATTAAAAGACAGAGATGATACAATGCCTGTTGTGTCGCATTTAAATGACTCCCCGCTAACACTGCTTCATGTCTACACAATGCAGAAGTGGCAGTTTTATAATTGGTGTCTAAGTGTCAGTTATGCATTGAATACTAACACGCTGAGATACACCGGTTACACACGGTTGGTTTCACCATATAAATATAACACAAATAATGTTTACCTGAAATTAGTGAAAACTAAAAGATACCAGAATCAAAGGATGGTAAATAAGCTTTTAAGTACTAATGTGGATTGTATTTGGTATAAAAGCTGCAATTTGTATTAAAGAAAAGTTAATATTTTCGTTTTACACAATATGCAAATTAACCGTAAATTTCCTTAAATAATAATAATAATCGGTTTGCTTTTTTTCAGATAACATTAATTACATAACTAATAATGTTTTAAGAAGAAATAAGTTAACATTTTGCTATGATGGTTGTTTATTCAGCAGTTTATTCTTGGGGTCCCCAGGGACCCCAGTCGGTAGTCCTTGTATGTTAAATACGTTGGTAGGTTGAGTGTTAAATGCTTATGTGTGATGAAAGGGGACAGGTGAGACCAAACATTCAACCATAATGGAATCTTTTCCTCATGGAGACCGAAACTAGTCCGCCACAGTTCTGACTAGGATAAAGCATTTATCCTGGTCACAACTGTGAATATGAATAAAATAACTAGCTTTAGGTAACTTAAGTTTAAGAAAATATAAGAATACATAGCCAAATTAACTACACTTTAACTGTGATCTTTTGATCTTACACTGTATGTTGACAGAGCACATGTTGTACATGTTACAGCATTGATTTATTTTTGTTTGTTTGTTTGTTTGTTTGTTTGCTTCACCTTGGTTACCTTAAAATTCGTAGCTTCATTAGTACATTCCATATGGTAAAAATATACCATTTTTAATTTGTAATGGAAAGTTTGTAAAAAAAAAAAAAAAAAAAAAAAGATATACAATATTAACCAAACAACAATAAACTAGTGACTACACAGTACATACTAAAATATTTTATTACATTAGATTTACAGAAAAGTACTCTAATGCCACAGGGTGTTCAGCACATAGAAATGCACAATATGTAGTAAGAACATGCAGTATTGTATGGGCTTTACAGTACTTACAGTACATAGTACACACTGGTGTAAAACAAAAAAAAAAAACATATTCAGAAACATTTAGCAATACCAAAAAAATCTTGAAGCAATAATTTTAGCATAAAACAGCTCCTCCAAGATCCATTAAAAAGGAACAGTGACTGTATAAAGGCTTTGTCATTGAAATGCCTGGTCTTGCTGTTCAATAGATCCAAATGGAATACGTGGGATAATTTAAATTAATGTAATATTTTATTAGATAACCTTAGACCTGGGAGAAGAAGGGACCAAAATATGTGATTATTGTTTTAAAAATAGAAAACAAGAAGACATAGTAGGAGCCTTTTTGGTCAGATGGCTACTGTTTCATTGCCAGAGAGGCTACAGAGGTGTCAATACTGTCATATAGCCAACATCAATAATGTTGTCTGTTATATGGCAACCATCAGTTCTTATAAAATAAACAACCTCCTTAGATATCATAATTAGCTGTATGAAAGATTCACTTTTTAGTAAGGGAGGGGACTATTCAGGCCTGTCATTCCTCAGGTTGTCAACGTTTGGCATAATGCTGCCTTCCACCAATCATCTTGTGAATGATTGGTTTTCTGTACATCAATGTAGGATGATGTAGTTTTTCCCTTCTTGCTTACCCTTTCTGAAGTTAATAGAAGAATTTTGCTCGCCTGGGTGATGGAAAGTGTATGGTCATCTATCCCATTTAAAGATATCTCAAATGCTGAGGACAGTCAAGAATGGATATATCATGACAAGGGGCTGTTTCCCTCATGGCACTTTGGGAGTATATACAGGACTAGGACTTACCTTTTATTTTAAGATCTTCCTATACAGTAAATGTCCATCTGTTCTCACAGTAATGCATCCATACATTCATTCATTCATCTTCAGTAACCACTTTATCCTAGTCTGCCTGTGGGGTCCTCAGAACAATAGCTGCGACACAGAAATACACAGCCTGGATGGGACACCAGTCCATCGCAGGGCACTATGCACACTTATTTGCACCAAGGAGCCATTTATTGTGGCTAGTCCACCTACCTGCATATCTCTGGATGGTGGGAGAAAACCAGAAAACCCAGAGGAAACGCAAACAGACATGCATAGAAGCTCCACTCAGACAATAACCTGAGATCAGGATCCAGGATCAGGTTTGGGGAATAAACACTGAGGCACACTGAATCATTTTGATTACATTCAAGTACAGTCACAGAAGTCTTGATCATTTTTATTAGGGGTGGACAAAGTACTGAGAAATCATACTGAAAGGATAGATAATGTGTCAAAAGCCTACTCAATTAAACAATTAAGTGTCCAGCCAAAAATGTAGTTAAGTGAACGTAAAAAGTTGCTACTTTTAAATGTACTCAATCATTAAAATTGAATGTTTTAATTTAAGCAACTATGACATTTTGCTTGACATTTGTCAGCTGCTGGAATTGATGCTAGTGAAATTATTTATTTGTTTGTTTGTATGTTTGTTTACATCTAACTTAAATAACTATTGCCAGTTAATGTTACCAAATTAACTACATTTACCTAAACATGTTTATATATATATATATATTAAATAAAAAAAAAATAAATAAAAAAAAAATTAAAATATATATATTAGTTCATGCCTTCTAGAGAGGCTTGTCTATATTCAAAAGTGCACAGATAGCTAGAGTATTAACTATATTGTGTAGCATGAGAAAGTCATAGCAGATGACAAATTGGATTAAAATGAATCTGAAATGAGTGGAAGCTAAACTGAGACCATTGCCTGGATGAGAGAAGAAGAGAGCTTTAAGATATACTGTATAATGTATACGTATTTAAGGCCTAAATAACAATGTAAGGAGTGGGGAAAAAATTCTTGGAAATGTAGTAAAATAAGAGTTCAAATATTCAATTTCAGTAATACTGTAGTAAAGAATAAATACACCCAAAATAATACTTAAGTATAGTAATGTTGCACAATTAGTCAAGTATTGTCCACCCCTGGTTTTTATACCGATGTGATGTGAACTTCAGTATACATGGCAGTAGACATCACTTCCAAAAAAGTTGAGGTGGGAAATGGCAATGAATGAGTGGTCTTGCCTGCTATTATCTTTATTTTTATTTCATCATGTATTACTGTGCCTTCCAGAATTGTTGGCACCCATCATGAAAATTGGAAAAACTGAAAATATAAAATATTTTGAACTGCTGGTATATATTTCATATCCATTACATGACTTTTTTATTTTTAAAGTAAATATGAACCCTGATACTATGCCCCTGGAAACAGTGGACAAAAACCCAGAGTTGTCAGCATGGTCTGTTAATTCAGCTCTGACAGTTCCTCAAACTCACATCATTTAAGTTCATAATTTGTCTCAAGTAGAAATGTAGTAAGTGGAGTGCCAGGCTAGCTCAGTCGGTAGAGCATGCAACTCTAAGGATTGTGGGTTTGAGCCCCATGTTTGGCACCAAACCCAGCCACTGGGGTTGCAGAAGCTAGTGCACTCTCAGTTCTGGTTCCAAGCCTGGATTAAATGGAAGATTGTGTCAAGAAGGGCATCTGGTGTAAAACCTGTACCAAATCAAACATGCAGTTAATAAACAGGATTTCCATAATAGAGACAGATGATCCACCTAGTCAACCCCTAAGAGGAGCAGCCAAAAGAAAAATAAGAATAAGATATGTAGAAAGTGGGAGTGTATTTTTTTTATATTATTCTTTTTATTTGTTTTGTTTTGTTGTTGCTCCCTGTGGGATCCCATCTCTATTCTTAACCCTGTGAACCTTTCTGGCAAGCTTTCTATAACAAAAAAAAATCTTATCTGTGTACCTACTATTCATTTGATATCTCTAATATATTTATATCCCAGATGAACAGGACAAAGCTAAAAACAGGTCCTAGGGCTTGAGAGCAATTTAGGAACAGAATTTACATTTTGGAACTGTCTTGTTGGAAATGATGTCATGATTTGTCAATTCTCTTCAGAAACTCTTCAGTAAATCTTTTATATTTAGAGGCCTTGCAGTTTGGCAAACAAATTATGTGTATCTATTGGCATGTTTACATTTAGATCTCTTACAGTTAAGCTATGTTTTATATGAGTGATAGAGAAGAACGAAAATATTTTAGATTAGGTTGCTCATATATAGACATAGTTTCTAAACAAGCCAATTTATGTGCTTTTTCAAACAAAATAATAGATGTTTATACATTAAGAAAAGGCGTGTGTAACTCATAATGTTGTCTCATCTTTGTTAAAGGGAAATGCAGAACTAAAGCCAAAATACAATCAAATAGACTTGACAGCAAATCAACCCCCACTTTCCCCCCCAAACATACACTTACGTGACATCTTTGGTACGTAATAGAGGTAACAATAGCATGGCTATTGTTAGTGCAGAACAAAGCTCTGTTTTCCAGTATGGTCTTCTAGTTCCATCAAAGACAGATACGTTTATAGTTATGGTCATGGGGGAAAAAAAAGTTACAGTATTGGGGAAAATAAAGCATTTGGGGAAATATTTGTGTGTCGCAGGTATGAGTGGGAGGTACTTGTTGTTGGTGTGTAGCAGAGAATAATTCTTTCCATCAGATTTTTTATTTAAAGGCTGATAAATTGTCAGATTAATCCCATCTAACATAGCATAAATAACATAAATGATCTTAATTGACCTCAGTTAGTGATTCCACATGATTACCTTATCAACCTATACCCTGATAATTAGTAGCCTATCTGTGTGACTGGGATAGCTGAGCTAGAGCTATATTTAACACCTCTCTGGCCATAAAAGGTCTCGCGTGGGGCTGAGGCATGTCTGCCCGCCTCAGTATTATTTTGGATGTTGGAGATTGCTTCTCCACTGCACAGTACTTTGCGTGAATTTTGAGCTTTGTTGATCCTCCCTCGGACCTGGAGCCTTGTTTGTACCTCTATGCTACCTGACTTGATTTCAGCCCACAGAGCTTTGGATAAGGTGAGCATGACCGTGTGTGGTGTGTAAAAGTAAAAAATATATATATATTGTTGTGTCAAATGCTCAGATAATTATATTACATTTATTATGATGCATGATTTTGCCAAAATGATTTTGTCAGTGCATCATGGTCCTTTTGCATGTGCTTCCTGAACTTTGAACTTTTATTCTAAAGGTTTGGATTCACAGGCTCTCTGAATGAAATGAGTTGCCAACAAAATTCTTATTTAAAATACTGATAAGTTAAGCAATACTCATCCCCCAGACACAACTACTTTTCTGAGTAACTTCACATTGTACAATGTGGTAAATTCATCTGTTATTAGAACATTTGATAACTGTATAAATCCAATATTGATAACTTAAAACTAATGTGACATTTCAAAAAGATAACTATGTTATGACTAAACACTGTAAGGCAGTGTATCATAGTGAAAGACAAATAAACACTTGACAATTTGAGGCTTCTTTTTAATGAAATAAAATAAAAATAAAATAAAATAACCATAATACTCTCCTTATTTAGATATAATCGAACTCACTTAATTTGTGTGTAGAAACTTTTAAGACGTCAGTGTAAGAGAACATCAGAGCAGAAGCTAGTCACTGAGCTATAAGGAGAAGGCGATGTCTGGATCGATCCCGTTCTACCAGAAGCACCACCGTCACTATGACCGTGCCTACCGTAGCCGGGAGGCGGAGTCTACAATCAGCCAATACCAGCAGAGCTCCAGTGCTTATTCTGCCCACAGAACCAACACAAAAGGGTAAGATACCAAGGAGAGAAATCCAGCAACTTAATCATGTCCCATCCTTAAACTCTTGTATAACATCTCCTTGGTCCAGTTAATCACTGACCCAGTAATTAATTTTAGCTGATCATTCTTTGCTTCCTTGCATTTCCCTGCATTTCCCATTAAATATTCATCTAAATTCATCTAAAACCAAGCAACCTGTCTGTGAATCCTGCATGCTTTACAAATTTCTGTCTTTCCTTTGGTGGTGCCTGCTGAGACTGCAAGAATGTTTGTCTACAAGTTTATTCCAGAGCCATGTCCAGGTCTGGCTCGGGATGAGTTTGTGAATAAGCAAAGAGTTAGTTGTTGTGTACTGGACCAGATTATCCAATGTGCATTATGGGCATGGGACCAGGGGCCTATGAGCATTTAGGGCCCAAGCGAGGGGAACATTTATTTTTTTGTCTTTTCTTTTCTTTCCTTTTTTTTAAATTTTTTTGGCTATTTACATTGCCAAAAATGGAGGACAATCACTGATTGGGCTACACTAGAATAAAAAAGACATGATCCCTTTAATGTCTACAGTGGTGTAGTTTGTATGGAGTGTAGGCTATGAAAGTAGCCTTTAACACGTTCGACCCCAGTCCCCAGGAATCTTCCTTTTATTGAACTTGTTCTTCTCCCTTTTCCGTCACAAAACATTTATTTTCTAAGAGTAAATAGAATATATCGCTATTGTCAGTTAGTGTAAATAGAATATATTGCTCTTGTCAGTGAAAATAGAATATATCTCTATTGTCACTTAGTGTAAATAGAATATATCTCTATTGTCACTTAGTGTAAATAGAATATATTGCTATTGTCACTTAGTGTATATAGAATATATCTCTATTGTCACTTAGTGTAAATAGAATATATCTCTATTGTCACTTAGTGTAAATAGAATATATTGCTATTGTCACTTAGTGTATATAGAATATATCTCTATTGTCACTTAGTGTAAATAGAATATATTGCTATTGTCACTTAGTGTAAATAGAATATATCGCTATTGTCACTTAGTGTAAATAGAATATATCTCTATTGTCACTTAGTGTAAATAGAATATATCGCTATTGTCACTTAGTGTAAATAGAATATATCTCTATTGTCACTTAGTTTAATAGAATTTATTGCTATCACAGTGTAAATAGAATATATCGCTATTGTCACATAGTGTAAATAGAATATATTGCTATTGTCAGTGAAATTAGAATATATCTCTATTGTCACTTAGTGTAAATAGAATATATCGCTATTGTCACTTAGTGTAAATAGAATAAATCGCTATTGTCAGTGAAATTAAAATATATCTCTATTGTCACTTAGTGTAAATAGAATATATCTCTATTGTCACTTAGTGTAAATAGAATATATCACTATTGTCACTTAGTGTAAATAGAATTTATTGCTATCACAGTGTAAATAGAATATATCGCTATTGTCACTTAGTGTAAATAGAATATATCTCTATTGTCACTTAGTGTAAATAGAATATATCACTATTGTCACTTAGTGTAAATAGAATTTATTGCTATCACAGTGTAAATAGAATATATCGCTATTGTCACTTAGTGTAAATAGAATATATCTCTATTGTCACTTAGTGTAAATAGAATTTATTGCTATCACAGTGTAAATAGAATATATCGCTATTGTCACATAGTGTAAATAGAATATATTGCTATTGTCAGTGAAATTAGAATATATCTCTATTGTCACTTAGTGTAAATAATATATCATATATATATATAATTACTTGTCAGTGAAATAAAATATATCTATTGTACTTAGTGTAAATAGAATATATCTCTATTGTCACTTAGTGTAAATAGAATATATCTCTATTGTCACTTAGTGTAAATAGAACATATCGCTATTGTCACTTAGTGTAAATAGAATATATTGCTATTGTCAGTGAAATTAGAAAATATCTCTATTGTCACTTAGTGTAAATAGAATATATCTCTATTGTCACTTAGTGTAAATAGAATATATCTCTATTGTCACTTAGTGTAAATAGAATATATCGCTATTGTCACTTAGTGTAAATAGAATATATTGCTATTGTCAGTGAAATTAGAATATATCTCTATTGTCACTTAGTGTAAATAGAATATATCTCTATTATCACTTAGTGTAAATAGAATATATCTCTATTGTCACTTAGTGTAAATAGAATATATCGCTATTGTCACTTAATGTAAATAGAATTTATTGCTATCACAGTGTAAATAGAATATATCGCTATTGTCACTTAGTGTAAATAGAATATATTGCTATTGTTAGTGAAAATAGAATATATCTCTATTGTCACTTAGTGTAAATACAATATATCTCTATTGTCACTTAGTGTAAATAGAATATATTGCTATTGTCACTTAGTGTAAATAGAATATATCTCTATTGTCACTTAGTGTAAATAGAATATATCGCTATTGTCACTTAGTGTAAATAGAATATATCTCTATTGTCACTTAGTGTAAATAGAATATATTGCTATTGTCACTTAGTGTAAATAGAATATATCTCTATTGTCACTTAGTGTAAATAGAATTTATTGCGATCACAGTGTAAATAGAATATATCGCTATTGTCACATAGTGTAAATAGAATATATTGCTATTGTCAGTGAAATTAGAATATATCTCTATTGTCACTTAGTGTAAATAGAATATACCACTATTGTCACTTTGTGTAAATAGAATATATTGCT